GAACATTTATAGATCTTAAAATACCATGGCTTCACTTTTGCAAGTCCAGCACCACACACAGTAAAAATTTCAAATGAAAGCTTTATTGTAAACTACATTATATAACAGAATAACATTTGCTTGTAAAAATGTCCCCCACCCCTCCATCCCCAGAAGAGAGGGAAGAAAGTTGAAATTTCTGTGAGGTATTACTGTGTTGGGGTGGATTGTTTTTTTCCTGTCATGACAGAAAGCAGAAGAAAAACCTCCAAAGTCAACTTCCTACTACAGATGACCAGCATCATACTAATGTGATCAGATGTCATGGACACCCAAAGCAGGGGAAAGGTGGGGGGAGCTGATCAATACTTTTACCCACTACGGCTGGATCTAGGGGGGTGCTGGGGTGGGCTATGACCCCCCCACATTTCCGTTGTGCCTCCCCAGGCCAGCCACCCGCTTGGCTACCTCCCTCTAGTCCTGCATAGTACAAGCCTACAAGGGGAGGGAAAGCCTGAAAAAGAGGGTGGCAGAGAGGAGAGAGGCTGTAGCAGGTGTTGTGCTTTCCACTCCTATCAGAACAGTGTTCCACTGTGTGGCAGATAACACAGGATCACTCTTCTGTCGAGCTGCACATGTGGTCCTTGTCCTCCAAAGGCTACTCATCACCTGGCAGCAGGACACATGGAGTGATCCTGTGTTATCTGCCACACGGAGGAACGCTGTTCTGATAGGAGGGGAAAGCACAACCCACACCTGCTCCTAGCTCTGTAGCACTCCCCCCCCCCCCCCCACTCGTAAGGTGAGGGGGAAGGGGGGGTGAGCTTGTGCTAGGGAGGGGGAGTTGGAGATTCAGGAATGTGTGCTAGGAGGAATGGGTGATATGTGCTAGGAGGAGGGTTTGGAGAGAATTGAGCCAGGAGGAGGGATTGGTGGGAATTTTTGTGCTGGTAGGTTGTGGTAAGATGGGGGGGAATTTGGGTAGGGAAGGAAAATTTATCTTGGGAAAGGTAATTTGTAGGGTGTTGTGCTAGGTGGAGGGATGGGGGAAGATATGCGCTAGGAGGGGGTTTGGGGAAATTTAGCCATAAGGGATAGGGAGGAATTTTTGTGCTGGGGGGTTTGTACTAAGGGGGTATGGGGGGGGGGGGGATTTGTGAGAATTTGTTCTAGGGAGGGGGGGGGGGGATTTTGTGCCAGGAGGGGATACGGGAATTGTGCAATTTGGTGAGATTTATGATAGAAGGGGGGAATTTGTGGGAGATAATTTGTGCTAGGATGGGAAATTTGAGAAGAAAGAATGTGTGCTGGGAGGGTTGATTTTTGGGGGGTGATAGAGATTTGTGCTAGGAGGGGGGGAATTGGTATGGGATTTGAGATGGAAGGCAGGATTGAAGGGCAAATATTTGTACTGGGAGGGTAGATTTGAATCGGGGAGGAGAGGGATTTTTGCATTTTTTGGGGTGAAAGAATTTTTGCATGCAGATGGGATTTATGATTGGGGAGGGGGGGGGGACTCTACTAATTAGTGCAGTATTTTTTATTTTTTTTGATGGGGAGGAATTTGTGCTGAGACAGGATGTTTACACTTAAATGTGCCGTTTGTTGTCTTGATTCTAGGCTCTAGCTGACCTTGTCCCAGCATTGTCTGCGCTACACACAGAGCACTCAAAAGATCTCCTCCTCCCCACACAATACATAGTTTAGATTGGATCCTTTACAGACACAGCCTCAGTCTGCATAGTGTATAGCTGGCTGCTATGTTCCACTTCTGATCTGTGAAATTCCCAGATCTGAATGGCAGCACAACTGCGGTAGCCAGCTACACAGTGCAGATCAAGGCTATGCCTGTAAGAGAGTCCGATCCAAACTGTGTCCTGTGTGGTGAGGAAGAGACTGGCCGAGTGCCTAGGCTATGTGCAGTATGGGGATGGGAGTAGGAGTTCTGCTGAGTGATCTGCCACCAGTAAACCCAGTCCTCCTCTCTGCTGACCCCTGTACCCTGCTCTGCTGACCCCAGTCTTCTGCCCTGATAACACCTGTTCTCCATCCTGCTGACCTCTGTCATCTGCTCTGTTGACCCCTGTCCCCTGCCCTACAGACCACCTGTACACTGCCCTCTTGTACGCTCAGCTGCTGACCTCTGTCTGCTGCCCTGCTACCTCTGTGCACTGCCTTGATAACCCACTGTATACTGCCCTACAAATTAACAGTCTCTGTACTCTGCCCTAAAAAATGCTGACCCTATTCTTTGCCCTGCTGACCCCTCTACACTGCTCTAATGACTCAGATACACTGCCCTGCTGACTTCGCATCCTCTGCCCCCCTGACATTTTTTACTGCACCCCCACATCAGACAGGCTAGATCCAGCCCTTTTACCCACTCTATGCCTGTACACCTAGAACCAATGTCTAGAGGGGAAATAAAATATAGCCAATTCTGTTGACAGTTTAGTGAGTGAACTTTAAGTGTAAAATACACAATTCCCCAACAAACATGAACAAACTCTGCAGGGACATCAGGGGATCCAGTCACATTGTACTAGTAGGCAGGGCAGTTTTTTTTTACATGGAAACCTGTGATTAACAAATCAGCAAAATACTGTGTGGGTGGTTGTGTGCTATGCATGGCTAACCTGTCATCCTGTGCTATGGTGCATGTTTACTATGTAGAACTCTGGCTCTCTACCTCCTGTTATGGAATGAGTGAAAGACTTTAGCCAAATTTAAACCATCACAGGATTACCAATTTCACCTTTTTGCCCCAAATTTTGCTTATGGATTGCTTAGATTAACTTTTCTTTAGAAAATATCATATGGCTTTGTTAAAAAAAATGCTAAGCAATTACAATGTCATTGCTGACAAAACAAGCCATGTTGCTTAAAACTGGCAATTTTTTTTTCTAGGTGCACAAAAAAAAAAAAAAAAAAAAACCACCACACACACACACACACACACACACACACACACACACACACACACACACACACACACACACACACACACACACACACACACACACACACACACACACACACACACACACACCTTTTCTTGAAAGATGACAGCATGGAGTTAAAAAAAAAAACCCAAAAACAATTTTTTTGTTCATTTGTATGAAATGTTTAATGTTCCTCATTTCCACACTATCCATTGTCATTTTCCCAACTAACAAGGAGTCATTTTTTGACACAAGAACACATCCAAGAAAGTTAAAAGGAAAATTTCAACAAAGCAAAAACTATCAATTTTGCTCATACCTACTCCTGCTCAAGTTAACAGCTGTTAACAGTATGATTCTTCCGTCAGTTCATATTTCTCGGACAACTGTCACCAGAGAGTAAGTGAGAATGAATCATTCCCAGTGGGGACACAAACAAGCAGCAAAATAAAATGCATTTTTAAAAAATAAGATAGGTTTTCAGGGTACAAACATTTTTAAAATTTGCAAGTACAAAAGAATATCCTTTCATAAAAAATATAAAATAAATTGAATAAAAATATGCACACGCTTGTCATGGAAAAGTGCATGTTTACAAATGTTTTCAATAAATATTTTAAAGTGTCAATGTATCAATTAAAAAAAAAAAAAATTATAGGAAAAGATAGTTCTAACTGAGTAACAAATTAGCTGCCATAGCCATAAAAACAACAAGTATTGGTGGGTGCCATTACAGGACCTCTGGACCGTACCATTTTGACATCTTCCTCATATTCAAATGCATCTGTAAAAAAAAATAGAAAAAACACAAAATTACTTCACAGTTTAGTTTCTGTAGTTTAATAGGAAAATGCTACTGAAAGGGAAAATTAGAATGTATAGGCTTATAATACAAAAGGACAAGCAATGTCTGTTAGCATTTGTACAAAATAATGAGACAGTTGATTGCTGATGTGTACACAAGGCATGAAACCCTATGGAATTGTAAATTACAGATACCTAGCAAATAAAAAAGGACAAAAGCCTATTTTTTTTTTTTTTATACAGGGGATTTGGCCACTTTATGTGAATGAAAGGTGTTCAGTGTCTGCAGCTGATTTCTGAAGCTCCCTTTGTAGTCATAAAGGACGTTTGATAAGACAACTAGTGCCTTGTCATTTTCCTGCTATGAAAAGGGCATAAAATGCATGACAGCAGTGATTGCCTCCATATGCTCCTATTTTCTCACATAATCTAGTTTATCTGTCCATCTTAACCCCATCTGCAAGGTGACAAATGGAATCCAGGACAACTCATACAAGAATGACATTTTATTGCTTGCAAAATTCAGGTGTAGAGCCGGTCTGTCAAAGGCAGGGCAATTTCACTGCATGGCCACCATTTATTTAATGTTCCTTTTTTTTGTGGGGGGTCCTTGCTTGACAGGCTTCACTGATTTTGAAGCCAATATTTCTGTTTTTTCATGAAGGGAACTGCTAATGAACAAAGGATCTTGTAATGGCCATTTTTCAGATGATCACTAGATATCTTAAAAAGCTTTGATTTATTAAAGTCTCCAAGTACAATTGTTTTTTATCAAACCAGTAATGATGGGATGTGCTTGGCTGATAGTACACTCCATTTAACACTGGTTTCATGCCCACACACTGCTATATTAGGAATAAGACACCACCTGATTATTATAGACACTTTAAAACACATTCTTCACATGACTAGTAATCTGTTGTTTCCAGGACAATTGAAGTAAAAAGTACTGTGCGAGTTTTTACCACTTTAACCACTTGCCTACAGGGCACTTATACCCCCTCCCTGCCCAGGCCAATTTCCAGCTTTCAGCGCTGTCCCACTTTGAATGACAATTGCGCTGTGATGCAACACTGTACCCATATGACATTGTTATCATTTTTGGAGATAGATAGAGCTTTCTTTTGGTGGTATTTAATCACCTCGGGTTTTTATTTGTTGCTAAACAAACCAAAAACTGAAAAGTGATTTTTCTCCTTCACTGATGTGCGCTAATGAGGCTGCAGTGATGGGAACTGATAGGCTGCACTGATGAGGCACTGGTAGGTGGCACTGATCGGCATTGACAGGCATCACTGATGGGCACTGAAAGTCAGCACTCATATATGGCACTGATAGTCAGCACTGACAGGTGACACTGATACGTGGCACTGACTGGCATTGATAGGGCACTGATGAATCTGAAAGGCTGCTCAGATGGGCACTGGAAGGTGGCATTGATGAGCACCGACAGCTGGCATTGATGGAGACTGACAAATGGCACTGATGGGGCTACGCTGATCAACACGGCACACGGATCATCAGTGCCCTGATCATCAGTGTACATGTCCTCTCTGAGGAAAGCCGATTACTGGCTCTCCTCTCCTCACGAGCTGTCAGTGTGACAGCTCGTGAGGAGAGAAATGCAGATAACCAGGATTTCCCTATTTACATGCGATCAGCTGTGATTGGACACAGCTGATCACATGACCGAACCAACGTCTTTGGCTCTGTTGATCGGTGTTCAATCGGCCCCTGGAGCTGCGCACGTGCGGTTAGAGTGGGAGGACATCATATGATGTCCTCCCAGAACGAGAGAACCGCCGCCTTGCACCTGTCATTTCCTTATATGGCGGATGGGAGGCGGAAAAAAAAAAAAAAAAAAAAAAAAAGTTTCAAAACCATAGGTAAATTTAATAGATTTTGGGTATTATATTAGAACTAAAGGCACCAAGACATACTGTAACCACAAACATATCATAAAACCTGCACCTCTGTAGAAACATTTTTTATGCTTATTGGCTTTTGTAACCATTAAAATCCAAATTGTATCTGAGACTTTTTAGTTAGCTGTATTTCTAAGTTCCACTGCAGTTTATCAGCACGCACCAGTGTCTCTTCCTCTATGTACTTATACTGTGGCTGCCTGCAAATTATGATGGAGCCAGCATTGCTACAGGGTGTGTGAACACCTATTCACGTGTTTAACAGTGAAGAAAGCCCTCTCCTCACTAAGGCCCTCCACTCGCCTCCCTAATGCCCAGCACTTTGACAAGCACATGGTGCATCAGCAAAAGGATTCCAGTTAATGGATCTCATAGTGCTGACGTAGGTGTTCCATGATAACCCATGTTTTGAATACATTCCAGCAGTGAGATCTCTCTCTCTTTGCCAGAGTGCAAGCTTTGCAGCCCCCCCACTCCGTAGTGCAGACAGACAATGGATTTGGGTTGAATATTGGATTTAAAAAAATGCATTTTGAAAAAACAATGATATCTACGATAGTGAAGCCTACTTATGCTGTACACAGCAGATAGACAAGAGTAGGAGTTCAAGCAGAGATGGCCGATGGGCCATTACATCTTACTTTATCAATCACAACTCATTGGTATTGAGTGAACAGTATCTTCTGATTACCTATGCAATGACCTAAGGATGCTAGTAAGCCATACACACAAGGTAATCATGACTGTATCCAACTGTTTTTGGCTACATATAGTATTCTCATGTCTATGACCACATGAGCTTGTGTGGTGGGAGCGATCAGCAAGACCAATTCCAATTACTGTCACCTGCCCTTGACTTCAGACACCACCAGGAATGTCTTCTACCTTTTCCATGGCAAAGACATCTCCTGACAATCGCCTTGTACCTGCCACATTTAAAAAGGCTGATAACCGAGGAATGAGTTGTAAAAAAAAAAAAAAAAAAAAAAAAAAAAAAAAACACTTAGATATCATAGTCTCAGTACTGAAATATAATTTTGTGAATGGTGTTAACAAAAACAAAAAAAAAAATATAAAAATGGAGCTGCTACCAGTTCTTTTAGCTCAATGTAATGTCAGGTATATGCACAAAATAATATGATTAGCACTCAGTCAGGTACAAGACACTGCTGCTGTCAGGAATCATTTCGGTCTCATTCTTGTAAACCTATCTCGTATGTTTTTCATGTCAGCGTTGCTTATCAAAGACTAACATGTGCCTTCTAAGCATACATTGGATCAGTTGGATTTTCTGAAATGACAAAAACCGAAGACAATCATTTCCATTAAGCAGAGAAGATTGCCACAGGCACTATTTAATTCCAGCAGCTTATTGCTACATCTACCCAAGAAATGTGTACTTATTTGTACACTTTGTTATTTTTATGGTATATAAATGCCTGTACTGTAAAACAGAGCTTTTGTTACAGAGAATGGATTACATCCAGAGACATTCTCTCTCTGCTGCTTATAATTGCAAACTTCTATATTTAGACGTACCACAGTCCCCGGATGGGAAGCAATACATAGTTCCATAACCACATCTGCATAAAGCGCACTTCGTAGGCAGCCAATCTCCATGAGCCACAGAGCCGCAATCCCTGCGTGGGAGAAAGAGCAATGATCAATCTTTTAAAATAAAATTTAAAAAAGAAAAAAAGCTTTACACATACTTCGCTCAACACTTACATATTCATCAAGTCAAACTCACAATATCTTCCAGAGAAACGTTTAGGGCAAGCGCAAAAGCTGCCTAGCACACAGGTCCCTCCGTTCTGACAGCAGTGCTTGTCCAGTGTGCTGGCTGAAAAAACAAAAAACAAAAACACCTTGTATGAGCCATGAAACCATCACCACTAAATAGGTCATATCTACAGTAAAATGTTGACAATGATAAAGAAGGAACTATGTATGTCTACTTATTTTTACGCAAACATTATATACAAGTTTTTTCAGCAGAAAAGGGTGCCTTCAGACCTCAGCAGATATCTTGGTCTCAATGTTTGCTCATAACTAGTGGTTATAATCAGGGGCAGACTGACAACTCATGGGGCCCCCGGGAAATAGGGGATCATGGGCCCCTGTGACCTTGCCCAAACTCAAAAAGGCCTATGAAAAAGGTACCAGGGGCATCTCATGGGGCCCCCTACTGTGCCCGAGTTTCCAAATGGTCAGTCCACCCCTGGTTATAATATTGTTCAGTGGTTGACCCATGCACCGTTACATAATATGAATTTGAAAATGAGGAAAAGTTAGAACCTCTTATGTTATTATGTTATTATAACTACCTATGGCCTCCTGTCCCAATATGTTTTTTTTTTTTAAATGGAGACAGGTAGTAGTAGATGTGGCTCCTCCTCATGATAACCGTAAATAAGCTACAGTACATTAGATGGTATTATTTGTACATGAACAAATCAGCCTTCAAATTAATTATAACTTATAACCAAAGATTGTTCTACAAACATACGCTTTCACATCATGCCATTATTGTACTTTTTCTAGCTTTTGGAGAAGCCCAAGTGACATTAGCAATGAGCTAGGAAAATCCATCTTGGCTGATCAGTTCATCATCAAGAATACTCTTGGGCAGTGGTCAGAGTGGTCTACAAAAACATATGATCTTTCCCTGGTCTGGCTGTAAATGGTTGGGTAAACATTCAGTTGCTTCTGTTGTCCCCTTCAGATGTATAGATTATAGATGCACTCCTATTAACCCAACAAATAGAACCAGGGTTTTATGTGCTGCTAAGTGCTGACATCCCTGTTTACAAAGAAATTGGAAAGCAATTGTGATTGGGACTTTAAAAAGGCACAAAAATAAACGAATAATAATCAATATACTCAGTGTTAAACATGTTAGTTCATTACAAAATGCATTTAAAACTCATACACTGCTCAAAAAAAATTAAAATGAACACTTTTAATCAGAATATCACATCAAGTCGATTAAACTCCTGATATTGATCTGGTCAGTTAAGTAGCAGAGGGGTTTGTTAATTTCATTAACACCAAAAGCAACTAAAACTGATTAACAACAGGTGCATTAGATAGTCAACAATGTGACAACATCCAAAAACAGGACTGGTTTTTTAGGTGGAGGCCATTGACATTTTTTTCCCTACTCATCTATTCTGACTGTTTTTACCTAATTTTGCATTTGGCTAGGGTCAGTGTCACTACTGGTAGCATGAGGCAATACCTGGAACCTACAGAGTTTGCACATGCAACTCCCCCAGGATGGCACATCAATACATGCCATTGCGAGAAGGTTTTCTGTGTCTCCCAGCACAGTGTCAAGAGCATGGAAGAGATTCAAGGAGACAGGAAGTTACTCTAGGAGAGCTGGACAGGGCCGTAGAAGGTCCTTAACCTATCAGCAGAACCAGTATCTGCTCAAGAAGGAACAGGATGAGCACTGCCAGAGCCCTACAAAATGACCTCCAGCAGGCCACTGGTGTGAATGTCTTTGACCAAACAATCAGAAACAGACTTCATGAGAGTGGCCTGATAATATCTAGTGGGCCCTGTGCCCACTGCCCGGAACCAGAGAGCTTGATTGGCATTTGTCATTGAACACCAGAATTGGCAGGTCCACCACAGGCACCCTGTGCTTTTCACAGATGAGAGCAGGTTCACCCTGAGCACATGTGACAGATGTGAAAGGGTCTGGAAAAGCCGTGGAGAATGCTATGCTGCCAGTAACATTGTTCAGCATGACCGTTTTGGTGGTGGGTCACTGATGGTCTGGGGAGGCAAATCCATGGAGAGACGCACAGGCCTCTAAAGGCTAGACAATTGCACCCTGACTGCCATTAGGTATCAGGATGAAATCCTTGGACCCATTGTCAGACCCTACACTGGTGCAGGTTCCTCTTGGTGCACAACAATGCCCAGCCTCATGTGGTGAGAGCATGCAAGCAGTTCCTAGAGGATAGAGGATAAAGGAATTGATACCATTGAATGGCCCCCACACTCGCCTGACCTAAATCCAATAGAACACCTCTGGGATATCATGTTTCGGTCCATTCGACGACGCCAGGTTGCACCAAAGACTGTCCAGGAGCTCAGAGATGCCCTGGTCCAGATTTGGGAGGAAATACCTTAGGACACCATCCATCGTTTCAAGAAGGAGCATGCCCCAAGGTTGTCGTCATTCATGCATACAAGCATGTGGGTACCATACAAAACTACCGAGTACCATTTTGAGACGCTGCAATTAAATTTCAGCAAAATGGACTAGTCTGCTGCATCATTTTTTTCACTTTGATTTTTGGGGTGTTTTTGAATTCAGTCCTCTGTAGCTTGATAATTTTCATTTCCATCAAACAATGTGGCATCCTTACATTCCTAACACATTACCCAGTCCATATCAGTATAGATATCCAGCATGATATTTTTCCTCATTGAGATCTGAAGCGTTTTCAAAGTGTCCCTTTAATTTTTTTGTGCAGTGTAGTTAAAACGGTTTTTAAAATGGGTCATCGCACATGGAATGATTTCATTATATACCAAGAATTGGTCTGTTATTGATACCATGTGGAAATGGGAGTGGTTAGGCGATATCTATTTCTCGATGAGTGTTGCAGTACATTTACCTTTCATCCCTAAAGGATTTTATAATAAACAAGTTTTATATATATCTTGATTTCAGTTCTCTCTTTTGTGTCTTTAAAGCCCCAATCATAGCAACTGCTCACACACTCCTATTACAGGTAAGTGTTTATTTATGAAACTGCATTTGGTGATGGCATTTTACCATCATTTAAGTTGAGATGCAGGCAATTATTAGCAGATTTACTGAGCCATTCAATATTTCAGAAGCATAAAAGTACCATGGTTCATTAACCACTAGATGTGTTGCCCACCCAGAGCCATTACATCATACCAACATTATATGACTGATGCAGGATAGTGGTGTTGTTTGGTAAATGGATGTAGCCTTGCAATTAGTTTTTCATCCCTAAATACATAAAGCTATTGTGGGGCAAGAATACTGACCATATGATGAAGAGAATAGCACAGACAGGCACACCCCTTTTGATAAACGTGCGTGCGCACAAAACGGGTCAAGGAGGAGCTGTACGCCCTGACGTCACGCTGCCAGAGCCTCATGAAGGTCCAGTGGCCATCTTAGAAAGTGGCTGGTCAGTGCTATGCTTTGCAGCTCTGCTATTTTGATGATTTCTCCATGTGGATGACAAATATGTTTTTACCAGAAGAAACATTTAATTATTACACTATGGGCACCCTCTTTCTTGGCTCTGCATTGAGCTAAATAATTTTCAGGATCCTATCCGGAGAACGACTGCAGGGCAGCCCCAGGTCCAGAGGAGGAAGTCTCTTTCCATGCTGCACACTTGGTCCATCTTAAAAGGGGGCTTCTGGCAGATCTTACAACCATCATATAATTCTACTATTTGTGCATTTATTATGCGCATCTGGTGAGTTTGCATTTTTTACCATATCCCCTGCACAATCTTATTGGAGTATATTCACATGAAATTCTTTTGATATCACTTGGGCAACAGGATCTTCACGTAGCACCATTTTCTGACTGGTGTCAGATTTTCACCTTTATATGAACTTTTTTCTGTTTATTGACTTTTAGTTGCACGCAATATATTGTGCTTCTTATCATAAGGACTTAATTTTTTGTATTTATTTATTCATTTCATCACTAATTTTTCAGTGCTGCACTTATTGATTTTATAAGAATACTGACCACATGAAAAGCTTTAGACACAGACTTCGTGGGGGAGATTTACTAAAACTGGAAAGTGCAAAATCTGGTACAGTTGTGCAAAAAAAAAAAAAAAAAATTAGCTTCCATTTTTTTTGTTAAAGCTTAATTGAAAGAGCTGTTAGAAGCCGATTGGCTACCATGCACAGCTGCACCAAATGTTGCACTTTCCAGTTTTAGTATATCTCCCCACATGCCTGCAACGGTCTAATTTCATTTTTATAGCGTGGAAGCCTACTCTTTGTACACCTTCATGTCCTCCACCTCAATGCATACTTTACTATCGAGTTCTGATTAGCCAATGCCTAGGGCAGCAGGATAAGACAAAACTACTATTTCAACTGCTTTAGATGGCAAACTATTCAAAATGGGATTCACTGCAGTAGTCATACAGAAACAAAAAGTGACTAACAAAGTGAATCATAATTAATTGCTTGTTTCTCTTCCTTATTAAATGCTTTAATGTTGCTGCACTGATGACTCTTCATTTCCAGAAATTTTTAACAAACAGCCTTAGGCAAATGATTTAGGCTATTAATTATCAAACATTTCACTATGGGATATAGAAGCTGAGAAACTAATATGTCATACATTTTAATCTACCTCTGAATATAAATTAGTTGCATTTGACCTATACCAATGTGTAACAAATATTTTGTATGTACATAGGAATAAACAGCAATAATGAAATGGTATGCTTTTCTATTATCTACCAATATGGATAAAACAGAATTAAGCAAAGAAACCAATTAGACCCATTTAATTTTTTCTAAAATTTAAAACTGAATTCCAGACTTCGTTAAATATATTTTTTATTATAATACATATATGAAATCTGTTTTACATTCAAAAGAATACACACAGCAGAGCAAAGCTGGTGACCTGACTTTGCCTTATGGCAGGTAAATACAGCCTGGTCACCTCTCTGTCCCTCTGCTTGTGACTAGAGGTACAGTGGCAGCATCATAATGAATCATCTCTCTGCTCTCCTTAGTGCATTCCTTGCCTGCCCTCTCCTTAGTGCGTTCCTTGCCTGCCCTCTCCTTAGTGCGTTGCTTACTAGTGCACGTACACTTCAGCACAACATATTTGATCCTAGTGCTGCCCCACTCACTCAAAACATTAATGCTGCTGCTCTACACGAGATTACAAGAGGCCGATATCAAGCAAAAATCAGATTGTGCTTGAGTGGGTTTCCTCCGTGTACTCCTGTTTCTTCCCACACTCCAAAGAAATGCTGGTAGGTTAACTGGCTCCTGTCTAAATTGGCCCTAGTACCTGTATGTATGTAAGTTAGGAACCTTAGATTGTATGCCTCTTGAGGGTTAGGGACTGATGTGAATGTACAATATATGTATGTAAAGCGTTGAGTAAATTGACAGCGCTATACAAGTATCTGTAATAAATATTTAAAGTACATTGAAAGGCTATTCCTTATTTAAATAATGAAAGACATTATG